GCGGTTCGAAGTGCTAGAGTACCATCCCCCAAAACACCATTAATCTCACGGAACGTTTCTCTAGCGGATTTGCCTTTAACGAAGGAAAACTTTAAAATAGCGCGAATTTCGGCGTTAGTGAACTCCATGTTTACACGTCTATAACTGTTGAACGCAATATCCAAACTAATCATGCATAGCGTTGTTTTGTAGGTTATGTCAAGACCTTTCAAATTATGTATAGTGTTGCCAGATACGAGCTCTGTAGCGCTTTGTACATAGCCGCGAAATTCAAAAGACAAAAAAGCGGAAGGGAGATACCTTCCAACCTTATATATATATAAATAAAGCGATTTTCGATGATTAGTATTCGTTATTGTTTTCTAATCGCGAAATTAAAAGGCAATCCTTGTATGAAGGGTTATTCGAGTGAAAAAGATCTTGTGTGCAAAAGACTAAGACAATAATTCTATTTTAACTCTTTTTGATTACAATAAAGTTTTGACACATTTAATGACTTGTTAAATATGATACAAAAGAAGACAGACATTGAAAATCTTTCTGCTTTTTTATGTCTCAAAACTAAATGCAGTTTTTGTAATAATTTATTAGCAAACAATAACCCAAACTAAACAACGAAATGTTTTTTCAGCAGTTGAAAACTAATCGAAAAGCATTCAAATAATACTCAGACAGCGCAGCACAACCACTCCGAAAACCGCATGCGGAGCAACTGGGTTTCAATTAAATTTAATTTAAGCAGCATTGCAGACATTCAATAATAGAAAGCTTTCTGCAATATTTCAATACTTCTAACAACTCCAACCAAGCGCCCACACCTCAGCCATTCTCTTCGAATTCATTACATTTGCTGCAAGTAGCGCCAACTGGCAGCCAAGCAAACACTCAAAGTGGCATCAACCGGCTGGCAACAAAAGTAACTCAATTTATGACCGAAATTTCACTCACTTCACCAAACGTTCGTCTGTTTGTGTGTCGAAACTTTGCCAAACGCCAAATACACAAAAAGATGGGAAAGGCCTTGCTTGTGTGTTGGTTGTGGTGGATTTCTGGTCTAGACGCCGACAACTCGGTTTAACCCCCCGAAACAACTGGAATTGGTTGCTCTTTAAGTGTAAGCAAGTTGTCAGCGTATTGTTGTAATTGTTGCTTGTCTTCGGCAGACAGCCACTCAAAATCGCTTTCGTCAACACCCACCCAGCGGCCCTATCAATAGCTGAATAGCCACCGACGCATACTTACACTAATACTGTTTTAGGTGCTCGGTTATATAAGCCATAAAGTGCGTTGCAGCATGTACATGGTCAACGTTTATACATATTTACTAACCTATGACTGTGTTATGTTCGAGTGTTAGAGGGCGTCAACTTTGTGTGGACTTGCTGTATTGTCGTTTTTTTTATATCTTGAACAGGTTATACAATATTTAGTTTGCCACGAAGTTTGTAGCAACCAGATAAAAATGTCGGATGCCGTAAATAATATATTGTATAAATATAAAAATTATCAGCGTGGCGAGCTAAGTCGTTCAGATCCATTTTTCTGTCGGTATATAATCGAACTACTTGTAGTCTCAGTTTTTGAGATATCAATCTAAAATTGTGCACACGTTCTTTTCTCCCAATGAAGCTACTCATTTGTCGGATATCGGATGGCTATATATCTACCAACAAAAACGACGTGTTGTTAAAATGATATAACTACCACGGCTCCAGTTGCATATCTCCACCCATTTACGCCAATTTTCGATGACCCGGTCCAGCATTTCGGCTAGAATTTCGACTATAGTATGCTATATGTTGTCTTCGTGCTCCTCGAGCATTGCTGGCTGATTGACGTAGTCCTTTGATTTAATATACCCCCAGAGAAGATAATCTAGAAGCGTTAAATCGCATGATCTTAGCGGCTATTTGACTGTGCCATTTCTCTAAATTAACGAGTCGCCAAACTTTGCATTAAATGTGGGCCTGTTTAGACTAAAACATAAATCGACGCACCGTTTTGTTGAAAATATAGATCGTCTCCGTCAATTTCATCATAATCCGGGAAAAAAAGTCACATCGTAATATAACGCTCACTATTGTTGGTAAAGGCATTTTCTGCCTCATTTCGAAAGAAATAAGACCCTGGTGATGATGCTGCCATACCCCAATTCGCACCATACGATCTTAAGGATGCAATTGCGTGTCCTCAACCACACGAAGATTTGACTCACCCCAATATCAACAATTTTATTTGTTGACGAAGTCATTGAGTCAGAAATGGGCCTCATCTGAGAAGACCGTGTTTTGGGCGAAGAGCTCTTACAGTAGTTACCGGAGAATATGTGTAATAATCTTGGACAATTGTCAAGCGTTGTACCAAAGTGAAACAGGACATGATGAAATGGCAAACCTTATTGAACACACTGACAAAATTTGACACAAATCCGTAAACAAACATGGGCGCCACGAAGTGTCAAAATCACGTCACCCCTATTGGTAGACGCTGTAGCTGCCATACAAACTCATCGATCAAAATCATTTTGCAAAGGGTACGAGTATTATTGCATCGGTGGAGCCGAAGTTAATATTTTTGCTGGTTTTAATTTTTTGCCACAAAATAGTTATCTAATCAAATAAATTTAGCATTCGGCATAAAAAGGTCCCAGCAATAAAGTAAAACACTTGCCTTTGTTCAGTTGTTCATGTGTGTGTATGTATTGTATATACTCGTATACTCTCCATTCTATTTTTCAAATTAGTCTATTTTTACTCATTTCTTCTTTTTTCTTCAATAATATGTATATATATATATTTATTTTTTTTTACGTATTAACATACAATTTTTGCTACACAGTGTAATATTTTATTTTCACTTCAGCATAATTTTGTTTCGCTCTAGTTACATATTTATTTTGCTCTATGTATTCAATTTATTTCTCTTAGTTTTTATAATTCGGTATCAAACATTAAAATTATATTATGTTTCTCTTAATAACTGTATTGTTTAGTAATTACTTGTACGTAAATATTTTCCAACTTAAATTTTGGTTGCGAAACTAAAATCAAGTTAACTTTTTCTTTTATTTTTAATTTTTCTCTGTTTTTCTCTGTTTCTCTTTTTCTCTTTGGTTAATTTATATTTATGTATTTATATAGGCTTTTTGTTTTTGTTATGAAATATTTACACCGTTATAAGTCAGCATTGCTTATAATTGCTTTGCCTCATTCAATTTACAATTTTCAATCTTAATATTTTCTTATTACTACATTTTGATTACTCGCATACTAAAGAGTGATCCATGTAGAGGTACTATTTTTAAAAGCCTTTTTTCGACAGATCACGCGTAAGTCGTGTCAAGCTGTCATAATATTTTTTTTAGCATTGTTCTATAAAGAATGTGTTTCATGCGCTTTCGAACTAAATTTTGTTCCATTTCTGGCTCAATGTGTATGTAAAAAATCAAAATTGCCGCATTTGGTACGAAGAGCAACCTGAAAAGATTCAGCCATTTCTTCCAGAAAAAACAACGGTCTTGTGTGGTTTGTGGGCCCGTGGAATCGTCGGTCCATTTTTCTTCAAAAATTATGCCGGTGAAAACGTAACCGTTAATGGCGACCGTTATCGCGCCATGATAACCGACTATTTTATGCCTGAAATTGAAGCTCGTGATCTCAACGACATTTGGTTTCAACAAGACGGCGCCACTTCCCACACATCGCATCAAACAATGGATTTATTGAGAGAACACTTCGGTGAGCAGATGATTTCACGTTTTGGGCCGGTCGATTGGCCACCAAGATCGTGTGATATCACACCTTAGACTTTTTCTTGTGAAAATATGTAAAATCTGAAGTTTATGCGGATAATCCTGCTTCGATTTAGGTCTTGGAGCAAAGCATCACGCGTGTCATTCGCCAGTTACCAGCCGAAATGCTCGAACGAGTAATCGAAAATTGGGCTCAATGAATGGACTATCTGCGACATAGACGCAGCCAGCAATTGAAAGAGATAATATTCAAAAATATATGTACTAAAGAATTATTTTTCGAATGATAATAAATATTCCCCTTTAAATTTAAAATTTCTGTGTAGAGAACCTCGAAATGGATCGCCCTATATATTTACACGATTAATTTAATATAAATCGAGAATTATTAACCAAAATTAAACGAAGTTATAATGAGCAAATTATAATCTGTAGAACTAACTTATAAAAATTTTTTCTTCAGATATTGAAAAGCGGTCTGATTTAAGCTATACTTACGTTTAGAGAGAAATAATGATAAGTATAGAGAAAAATATTCGTATTCTGTCTACAGAGACTAATAGAAAAATAATAATTTATAAAATTTTGGTGCTAAATGTGAACCAGTTATTTGTTATGTACTCACTTAAAAATGTACTCCATAAAGTCAACCAGAGGGATCAGAGAAATCTTGTTCGGTATATGGGGTTAGAGGAAGTTATAGTTTGATTTAGCCAATTACAAAAACGGATTTCCAAATTTAGTTTTAGATATGTGCTTCAGTTTATTCTATGAATTGAAGAATGAATTGAATGAAATTGTGTTGCTCTCTCACCTATTATTAATATATGTCGCGATTTGCAGTGAATTATAATATGGAAAAAATCGATAACTAAACAAAACTAAGTGTAAATCTGTTATACTTGTATGAGTAAGGTGCTTAGAGGAAGTAAGCCAATTACAATAGTTTCTATAAAATTATCTTTATGAGTGACTAGTACCATATTCATAATGTAAGTTTTGTAGTGATTCAAATGTGAGCTTGATGGTAGTTCTAGATATTTTTAAAGGTGTTATTGTACCATATATTTTAACAAGCATTTAAAGGTATTGATTTTTGAAATTTTAGACTTTACTGGTTTATTCTCGCTAAGGATGTACAAGCTCCGAAAACCTCATGGAAAATCTAGTCCATCGAACAGATAGTTCATTAAACATTGTGTGCTTTGCTCGCTATGTCCTAATCTTCAAAGCAGGATTGAAATTATAATATAAGCTATAAATACAATAAAAATATTATTCTGGTGGTCATCAAACTTTCATTGACTTACACTATAACTTGGTTTTTGTTTGCTTTTAGCCAAGCATTTTTGACATAGTTTTGGCTACTGGAAGTCACATAGTAAGCGAGTCTTAGTGCGACTTAGTTCTGACTTGATCTTGCAATATTTCTCTATACCATTTGGTTTTCAGTGTCCAGTATATATTGGATAATATGCACAACTCTAATTTTACTCACTCACTTACCCAGTTTCAACTTATTAATACTTGATTATATGATCGGTAAAATGAACTCGAGAGTTTGAACAGATATTCCATTAATCAAAGAAGGAAAATTAATTGATGTAATACTTCAAAGGATGAATTAGCTTTTAAATCGTGTTAGGCATTTTGGAAATCAAACTGATTATGTAATTTTTGAGTTCGCAATCGGGGCGGTTAAATTTCATAAAATTTCGAGTTTATAGCCAATATTATAATACTTTACTCTCTATAGATGGAAATTTCTGTTATCTATCTACAAATAAATACTTCCGAATTCGTTTCGACAAAAACCGAAAACTACTATTTTAAGCGAGTGTGAAAATAATACCCAACTAAATTATAAATAATTTGAAGTTATTTGTTAACACTGGCAACATTCTAGCTATAAAAACATGTCGGAACTTATCAGGTTTTGAGAGGCAGATTGAAATGTTCATATCCTTAACTTAACAAACTACAAGGATCACCAATAGGTAAGAGGTATGTAACAGAGAGCGAATACTTAGACTATAGTTAGGCTTAGGCCGTTTAATTTTGCTTGGCTTTTGAGCACTATTGGCCAAGGATTTATGGAATATGCACAAAATGCACTTAAAATTAGAAAAATGCTAATTCACAATGAAATTGTTTTTTTTTTCGATATAACTAATCAACCAGTCGCTCATTTTTTATCAACCCCCTGAAACTGAATCCAATAAATAAGCCAAGTTTGTAGTGCCGCTTTATAGACATTTCAATATTTAAGCGAGTGTTCTTTTGCGATTCGCTTACAAGCGAACGCAACTACAGCTGATGACTTTAAATTATTTATATTTTTTAAACTTTAATTTTAATATTTTCTTTTATGTAATTTAAGTGCTAATGAGTATATGCAGTACGTTGGTATTTTGTTTTATATACTTATATACAGGGTGCTCCATCCTTTAATACTAATATGGTGAGGAATCATTTCGATATTTATGTATACGTCTGTCCACGAATGTATGGAGAATGTGGTGACAAATTGTGGTTGCAATAAAGTTTTTCAATTAATTAAAATGTCTGAACTCAATAGTCGGCTATTTCCTTTAGGTTATTCAATATTTTTATGCCGAAGGATGAAGCGCCCTGTACATTCGCTTAATTGTGACACAATAGACCACAAGCCATGTTTACAAGCTCCCGAACACGCTCTAATGCTTAAAAATCTAAACAAAATAACCAAAAACTAGTTTGATATTTACGTTTGTCTAATTAATAAATATTTATTTTATAATACTATATATATTACATACCCTTATATATAAACTATGCGCATACTTATTTACAGTAATGTTCCAACAAATTCTAGTTTGCCAAGCTTTCTTATCAGACATACAATCCTACATACGAAGATTCATTCTACAATATATTATATGATTATTATATTTATATATTTATTTATGTATTTTATACCTATACTCAGTATATTTTATGCACGCGTTGGTTCTTAGTAATTATTGTTTCGATTAATAACATAATTAACTCGGTGGTTTTTCACCAATTATTCCACATGGATTTTTGCAAATAAATATTTTCTTTTTCTATAATTTTATACCCTTTGTTTGCATTTATATAATATTTCATTAAAGCCTATTTACTCATACATATAATGCTGCGTTCGCCTAACAATTTTTAGTTACTTGTATATTTATTATTACATACATATACATATATATATATATATATTTTTTTTTTTTTTAATTTTATTTTATATATACCTATACTTGATATTTATATAGTCTTCGCTAGGGTGGGCAGTTGATTCAATTATCTCACTTAGTCATCATCATCATTATAATCAAATAGTTGCATTTTGATAACAAGTCGGGGTATTTCGTTTTCCAAATAATTAATCATATACGGAACTATTAGGTTTTTGTTGAGTTTTTTTCACCTCAGGAGGGTATTCTGGTCTAGAGGCCATCAAGCGATTTATTTATTCATATTTCGAAAGTATAAAAAAGAAAAATAAAAGAAAAAATGTTAACCTTCGGTTGCACCGAAGTTATAATACCCTTCATAAATACAAAGATTCCTTACAAGAACTGGATTCCGATCGTTCAATTTGTATGGCAGCTATATACTTGTACTATAGTGGTTCGATATCGGCTGTTCCGACAAATGAGCAGCTTCTTAGAGAGAAATGTACAGGTGAAAAATTTCGATTCGATAGCTTGAAAATTGAGGCATTAGTTCGTATATATACAAACAGACAGACGGACGGATCATGCTGATCATTTATGTATATATTTTATAGAGTCTCCGACTTTTCCTTCTGGGTGTTGCAAACTTCGTGGCAAACTGAATATTCCTTGTTCAGGGTATAAAAAAAGAATAATACATTTTTATAAAGTTATAAATTCTTGCAGTTGAAGAAAAAATATGCCTGGTCTTCGCCGCCACGATTTCTACCCTTGTTGATTAAATCTTGAGATATCGCGATGACCGTGTCGAGAAAAACGCTTTTAGATTTTTTAGTTAAGGATAAATTGATCTAGTTGCCATGACACTAAAACTGCTATAACTTGGAAAATAATTTGAATTTTTCAAATTGCTGGACTAAAATTTCCCCTAAAAGAAATTAATTGTGCGATATTCTCTAAGAGGTCGTCATTTTCTGTAGTCGCATAGCGTCGCAAAATAGTTATTGGTGCATCCATGCGATTCTTTTGATTTTCATATAATTCTTGTAATCTAATCTTTATGATGTTCTATTACCATATTTTACGGCTTTACCGTTCTTTTAGTTAACTCCACAGTTTCTTTCAAAGTAAAATTGCTGAATCAAGGACATCTCTTTTTGACAGTGTTTTTACCTTAATTTTTAAAACGTTATAACAAAGAATTTTCTTCTTAGACTTTAATGTTATAAAGCTATGGAGGACTTGGGAAACAAAATATAAAATATTCTTTTTCTGGCTCAAGTACACTTTTACTTCATAAAACTGCAGTTCCACGTGATAACGTTTACAATATAGATGATTCAACTTGGATTAGCATACCTTCGGCAAGGTTTTAGATTTTTATTTAATGCATGATATCTCAAGAATATTGTGTAAAAATTTCAAGGCGATTGACGAAGTTATGAGTATTTTTATACCTGTCTTATGAACGTTTTAAATCGGATTTTTTAGTGTTCAAAACTCTAAAGCGTGCTCCTCACAACTCATATTTTCAAATTCGGTTACCCTTTTAGGTTCAAAATTACTGCATCGATCTTTTAGCAATTTTTATACCTTGAATAGGGAGTATGAAGTTTGCCTCGATGTTTGTAACACCCAAAAGGAAACGTCGAAGGCTTCATCAAATGTATACATACATAAATCATCAGCATGATGAATTGGGTCGATTTAGCCATGTCCGTCAGTCTTTACATACGCAAACTAGTCCCACAGTTTTTGAGATATCGATCTGAAATTTTGCAACCTTGCTTTTCTCTATAAAAAACTGCTAATTTGTTGGAAACGCCGATATCGGACCACTTTAGCATATAGCTGGCATACAAACTGAACAATCGGAATCAAGTACTTGTATGGGGAGCTTTTTTATTCCACGAGATATCGTCACGAAATTTGAAAAAAATTATTAACCAAGGCAATGGTGCAATCTCCGAGGGAATTGTTTAGATCGGACTATTATACCGTATAGCTGTCATATAAACTGATCGATCAAAATCAAGATAAATATCTTTTTATGCCCTTTTGTGCAATAAGTAGAGTATTATAACTACGATGCAACCGATTTATTTGATTTTTCTCGTGAAATTTTATTACAGTTTTCGAATGCCATACTTTAATGTATTACCATTGATTTTAATAAAAATATTTTAATTGCGTCGTCATTAAAAAACTTTCCAAAAACATGCGTGTTTTTGCAGAAATTAACCTTAATTTAATTCTCCAGAGAATAAAAGATACGTTTTTCTTAATAAAAGTTACGAAATCCTCTGCACCTTCTTCTTTAAACTTTTCTATAAAATTTGTATGAAAATATTCTTATTTTGCATCCTGTCTAACAAGGACCACAAGGCAATAAAATTTATTTAATTTCTATAATTGATCAATGAAAATTTTGCAACAGAAAATATAGCCTAGTTTAAGTCATACCTAAAATAATAGAAAATATTTCTGATGAGCAATAAAAATTTTATATAACATATTACTCTAACTCGCTACCCACCACTACTGTCGTTGATAATTTATATACATACGTGATATTTAACAGTTACATTGATATGAATTCTACTTTAACCCCTGCTTGATTTTATATCTATACTTTATACTTACTTACAAATACATTTATATACTACATTTGAATATTTAACTACTCTCTTATGCTTTCCCACTTTTTCCTCAAACACTCAGTGCTGCATCTACTTGCTTTATTGTCTTCGTTCTGGTAATCATCTACAAACAGTGCTGTCGTCACCGGCGCATATCGAATGCGGCGCGGCCAGGAATAGTTTGCCGTTCGAGCAGGCGCACAGCTGGAAGACACGATGCAAATGGTCACGACTTTGTGGCGCCCCCAGTGGTGGTGGCTGCGCCGTACGCAGATTCGGCATAAGGATTTTTGCGGACTCCAGGCGCAGCTGTGAGACACGATTTCATTGTATGAATAAAAGGAGAGCGCAAAAGAAAAAGATAAAAATTATAAATGAAAATATGTTGTAGTGATAGACAGTAGATTAAGCTCAAAACTCATGCACTCATAATGCTTTTTAATATATGTAATATATATTTTTTTAAATACTTGAAATTATCCAATTTACCACTTACACTTCCGTCCAGCGCACTCAGCCTCACATCTTTCAGTGCAGCTACTTCTATTGCACCAGCGCGCGATTGCAAATTTATATCCTTTGCAGCGGTCAGTTCAAGCTGACGTGTGGGGGATTCCAGTCTAAAAAAAAACAGAGAAATTGTTAAGTAAATGAAAATATCTTTTTCTCAAATCATTCAATAGTCAATTTTCTTTATATGATACAAATCGGAATCTAAGGGGTCTAAAGTGAGAGCAACCCACCAAATTTTCCCATCTGAAGCCAAAGACTTTTACATTAGAACAATTTATATGTATAAGTTTCTAGAACACATTGCTACGTTTCTTGCGAAACCTTATTCATAATTTATTTTTTTTTTGAGATTTTTCCGCTTTTTTGACTGCAGATTTTAAGTGCTCCTATAATAAAAAACTGTTTATGATTGTATCTAAATGTTTCGCCTTCCAAATAATATATGTATATTAACTGTCTTTAGGCCGATAGCCTTCGTTGCTAACTTAGCGCCTTTAAACTGTAATATAATTATTTATCTTCTTGCTAAATAAATAATTATTATTCTTGTTAATAATATTCTTGTTAAATAAATAAAATATAATATATTAAATTTTACTCAAAATATGAACACCTACCTATTCTGATCTATATTTTTTTCATAAGTTTTATGATGTATCAAAACTAAGTAAAAATCCTTCGCCTTCGATTTACGAACTTTTGAAGATTGGCGAAAAACAAAAATAGTTGGAAGTATTGGAAAATAGGCTACGGCAATTTGGGCATGATTGCGTTACGACAGTATTTTGAGAATTGAAAGCGAACAATAAGTTGTTTTTTAGTTATTATTATGATAACTGCAAAAAATGTTAGAAATAAACACATACGAGTATACTATGTAAAATGTAACATAACCTCAAAAACTACCAAGTCGAAGAAGAAAAGAATTAATCATAAATACGAAAATACGTTAAAAGTTTTTACTAATTTAGAGACAAAGTATGAATTCAATAAACAAATAAAAATAAGACAAAAAAACAGGAAAATGTTTCATTTCAAAAAACTTGGGCTTAATTTATATAGAAAGTGTATAATAAATTTATCTACATAAAATATATCTAAATATATATAGATATAAAAAAATATGTTTATCAATATACCAAATTACTTGCATGAAAGTCGATTTTTTCCAAAATTACATAAAAATTGCAATCTGGTCACCCCAGGCGTTTCCAAGAATTTTTCGTTTCATACAAATCCCCAATTTACACCAGGCACGCAGAATCTTCCAGCAGGTAACTGCCGCGAAAAATAATTTTTTTTCTGTAGCCTACCTCAAAGGCGCAAATGAAACTGCTTTAGCGACGTCTGCAGGACACCCGAAAGGAAAGACTGCCGCCACGTTTACAGTAACAACTTTTACGATTCGCAACCAATTTCGTGCACTCAGGTAGTAAATAAAAGGGCCAGCCTGCAGTTATACACTCAGGTACTAATAAATATTATCAAATCACAAGTGGAAGAAATATTCTTAAAGCAAATGTAACTGAGCAACTCTATGAAGAGATACTTGTAATTTTATATTTTTAAAACAAGATGAGATAATGTTTGTGCTGTTTAACGCTTGGGATACGCTTTGTAAGTATATTTTATCATATATCATCACCTCAAATTCACTGCATACAACTGTAGCGCCTGTTTTTGAGAAACTTCTTTCTAGCTGAATTGCTATGATTTAGTGTAAGATGAAAGTAGATGCATACTACCAAAATTTTCTTGAGGCCATTACCTTTTCTTTGCCACTAAAATCATTGAAATCGGTTGAGCTTTTCCAAAGTTATAGCGATAATGCCGGCAGCACTATATTGCCCACCATTTGCTTGATTTTCTCGTGCGCCTTTGAGGTATGCAACAGAAATTGATTGATTTTTTGCCACAGTGGCCTACTGGCATTTATGGTCGCCTGACAGGAGTTGATGTTTGTGAGTTTGACCGAAAAGCGAGGAAACCGTAGTAGAGTGACCAAAGGCGATTTTTTCGTAATTTTGGCAAATATTAACCGATATTGATGATTTTGGTGTCAATTGAAAGGGATTTGAGTGAAGTTTTTGAAAATTAAATTCAAAATATGAAATATTGGAAATCGAAAAAAACTAGGAAAATTTTTATAACAAAAATTGTATGCAAACTCAGTTTTGTTTTCAATTGAAAATGATTAATAAAAGAAATTTTTGCATTTTTTACTTCATTAATCTTTATTTTGACACATATCCAAATAGTGATTTTTATTAAAAAATTGCATCATTTCTGCAATAAGCTTATGTGATTTTACATTTTTGGGTAGTAAGGAACCTGTTTACCTTACTTTCTGCCATAATTGCAAGTGCTGTTCAACAGAAATTTTCTATTAAAATGCGAAGATTTGTACCAGTATGTCTAGAAAATATTAATTTCTAGCCTGCAGCATATGAATAACAGGGGAACTTAACAGCTGTTAATTATGCAATGCTAACTAGTGTACTCTCGACTGTTGGTAGGTAATGTGTACTAACAGAAATTTTCTATCTGAAGGCTAAAAATCGAGATTTGTAAAAATCGCCCAGAACCGAATAGTAGGGTACTGTTGATCATTTTCATCGAATAACTTCCGCATTTATGGTTTGATCGGGGGTCGTTGAGGTCTCAAAATAAGAATCGACGCTTAGTGTAGTAGTCTGTGGCGATTTGGGCGGTTTGGTGAGTTGGAAAGTTATTAGTTTTCGTTTCTTACCTATTACATTGTAGATAGAAAGATTTATTGCTAAAGCTTTTCAGGAAAAATCTGCATAATATCCTGTTGTTATTCTAGCATATTCTAAAACATGGAATATATTCATAATTAAACAAAAAATTGAGGTATATTTTTTAATGGCCTAACTGTGTTTGTTAATTGCTAGTTTTATCATTTTGTGATTGTCGGTAATTGCAGTCATATGAATCCCCAAAATTGATCTTGCGAGTCTCAGTTTAGGAGCTTTTGAGATTTAATGACATTTGTAAAAGGTTAGTAAATATATTATTTGCGCTTTGTTTAAAAATTGATTTTTATTGAATATGATCATCTTAATTACGATTAATTTTTGTCATATTTAAAGTAATGCGCTGACACTATGCCAACCTCATCTCCAACTATTCGGCAAATGTGGCATAAATAACACTAAAGACATATTGAATTTTGCAGCTGTTGCATTCTGGCCTTCCAAAGGTATACCCCACAGCGCGCTATCTTATGCATGTGTTCACCATTAAATCAATTCAACAAATTCGAGAAGCTCCATACAATATGCCAGCGAGTCAATATTTTCCGTCACTGCAATTTGCAGCTGACCATTGCAGCTCCAACCATTTATTCTTCGCATTCATACGGATGACAATTGCCTCGCTTAAGGCGCACTTCTAGGCACATGTGTGTGGTGTGTATGTGTAGGGGCTTCATGGGGCGCAGATTGCGCCTATTTGTCTGTCGTCCCTTTAGTGCTTCCAACAGAGTCAACACTTCGTTCGCGTTGACTTCTCTGGACTGCGCTTCTCCTGCGCATTGCTAGCTGTCGAACTGCTGTTGTCGTGTGGCGTATGTTGCACATCATAATTCAAGTCAAAATAAAATTGACAGGAGCAAAGAGCTACGGGCTCAAAGTGTGCTAGTGATTCATATGCTTTCTGCCCATCGGGCGCTTTAATTTCATTGCTTTGGCTATACTTCACGTTGTCAATTTTTCACTTTCTCCAATTTATAGGCATGCTTCGTATACAACTTCAATGAGGTCAGATTGATTATAAGAAAATAGATATGAAGATCGAATGAAAATATATCATACTATGTCAAACTGTCATATAGCGAAAAATATTCCTATTTATTAAAATTTTTTTTTGTAAGAAGAGGGAGTAGAGAAACCTAATCTTTGAAGGACAAGTGTTTGCAATTTACATGAATCAATTAATTGGTTCGTGAGAAATCGCAAAGCACCTTTATAAAGGTGACTTAGATTGTTTTAGAAGAAACATTTATGAAGGAATTTCATGAGTCATTGACTCTACACTAGGTGAAATAACTATTCGCTAACAAAACGATATCTACATATATTTGTGTCAATATGTGATAATATGTGGTTGAAAGAAAAGTCCTTCATATCACACAGAGTTCAATTAACATTCCTTTGATGAGATTGTACGCGATAGACCAATTCCGAATTTGAAGAAGAAGAAGAAGAAATCGTTGTTTCATCACAAACCAATAAAATGAAGAAAAAATTTGGACTAATCGAATTGCTAGCACTTCCACCGTATTCTCCGGACATGATCCACAAGTGACTTTCTCCTGTTCTCAGACCATAAAAAATGCTCCCTGGAAAAATATTTAACGTTAATGAAGATGTAAAGACTGAGCCCTTTTTTCAAATAAAAGATATACCGACTAAACAAATGCTATATAAAGTTTAGAAGAACGCCATAATTGGTGTATAACCCACGTAAAAAGTTATGGTAAATAGGAAGGCAGATCAAACAATAAGCAAAATCAGAATCTGTTAAAATTTCGAAGTGCCTTCATGTACCAGTGATCCCCAGCAAAGAAACTGCTTTATTCGGTAGATTGCTAAAGGTCATGTCAATTAAACCGACGCTAAAGGCAAGACTATTTATTATACTCTTGCAACATGTAGCAACACAGAGTATAATAACATAGTTTTGTTCATCTAACAGTTGTTTGTATTACCTAAAAATAAGCGAGTTAGATATAGGGTTATATACATATATATAAATGATCAGGATGAAGAGGCGAGTTGAAATCCGAGTGAGTGACTGTATAGGCACGAAATTAAAATATAAACCTGTAATTTGGTACAGGGAACTGCAGTAGCAAAGAGTATCTGTGGTTTGAAATTTTTATAAAGTGGGCGTGGCTCCCTTATAGGTTTAATGTATATATCTCCCAAACGATTCAAGCTATATCACCCAAATTCGCACAGGACAAATCTTTTTGACCTTTCTTACGATAGTGTGAAAATAAGCGAAATCGAGTTAGATCGCTTACTTCCCATATAACCGTTTTGTTAAAAACTACTAGAAGTGCAATAAATCAATAACAAAATGCGTCAGAGAAATAAAACTTTACATTCAGGATAGCACAAGAGGGCTCTATTGGAACCGGTATCAAAATTGAACGATAGGCGTCGCACCACCCACTTTTAGGTGAAATCGCATATCTCGGAACTTGCCCGAACGATTTCAACCAAATTCAGCACATAAAACTCGGCTGATATTAATATGTTACAATGCGAAAATGGGGGAAATCGAACTACAACCTACCATTATTGGTTTTTGATTTGTGTTTTGGAAAGTGACTGGATAAGATGGAATTTAAAATTTTGTTACCTAGGAAGTAAGTGTGATTGTAATCTGGATAAAACTTTGCACAAATCTTGCCAGCTTGAAACCAAAAATTATCCAAACCGAACCAAAACTGTTTAAACCCATAGGTAACAAAAATGTGAACCACAATACCTATAGTTAACTTTTTTACCAAAAATAGCGATTAATGTGGGAGATATATAATTAAAGTTCATAAAAATATTTTCTTGATAGTTTATCTTTGTGTCAAAAATGGCTTAAATCGAGGCAATACTTAGCACCCATATACCTAGTATAAAGATTTTCAAAATTCCATTTAACTTTATGGTATACCACATATATCGGCCAATGTTGAAGTTATATTAATAAAATTGAGGGAGCGAATTTTTCTAATAACAGAGTATATTTGTGTCTAAAATGGATAAAATCGAACGAAAAATTGCCTTAGCAACCATATAACTGATATTCACGATTTTGAAACGTCCGGCTGACGTTACTCCATATATGTTTATAAAATTTCTTGAAAAGAATTTCTCATTTATACCTGCATATTGTCAAAAATTAATGCAATTAGCCATTTTATTTCTCCTCCTATGTAATAATTTCAGACTTTGCAACTGACCGTTTAGGTTGGTCATACTTGTAATAATAATTAATGAAATTCCCTAAAATAATGAATTCCAATTCTTTGGAACACTTAATTTTATGACTATACTTTACTGCCCGACAACGAAAATTATGTTAAAATCATTTTCAAATGAGATATATCATGTGATATAAACTCAACCGAAGAGGCTTAATTTAATATTATATATTGAGTTGTCGTTTTTTCAGATCTTATGTTATTATTATGACTTATGTGGATAATTATGAATATATGTGGAATACTAGAATAGAAAATCTTTCCAGCTCTGAAACTAAAGAAAGAACTCATCTGGATTGCAAGTGGTTGTAGTGCCATATAAGAAAGAGAAGAGCTGGACTTAAACAGACTTAGAGTCACACTACGAGTGATACTCAAAAATTCATCAAATTGCTCTCAAAGTACGTAACTATAAGATTAAAGAAGTATGCCACACTAGAATTTACAAAAATTAAAATTCTCTCTTCGAATAAAAATAGTAGCTTTCCTTGTATATCAATACCGATCGGAGTCATGTGTTTCGCACTCGAAGTAGGTATAATAGTTTAAAGGTTTTTTTTTTTTAATTGCTTGTTCAATTTACCAGAAACATGGTTAAAAACTGTTGGAGCAATTTTCCTATTTGAGTTGAAATTTAAATCGTATTTTTCAAACTTTATTATCTAGAAAATACGTTGCGGTTTTTACGTTGCATTAGTTAGTGCACATTTTTTGTCAAGAACAAAATGTTGATCATTTTTATGAAGAGAGAGAGAAAGAGCTTTCTCCAGATTTTTGTACAATAAAAATTAAGTGTTTTTAGAGTAGTTTTAGTTTTCTGAGCTAAAATTGGAGATCAATAATCTTCTCTGGTGTGTTACAATAGCCGCAGGTCAACAGCCAACCATCTGCAGTAAAATATTTCTATAAATATTGCATAGGGAATAAAGTATTCTTATAAATTATTTATATTATATATATATATTAAATATTATATATTGTTTCTTGTTTTACCGAAAATATTGTGAACTCCTTTTAGAGTGGAGTAATCCCTTGAGAGCTTTTATTATCTAAATTACTGATTGGAAGCACTGTGATAATAAGGGGCACACATAGTGCGTAATTTCGATAATCGATAAAATTTAAATAATTATTTGTAACATTTTTTGAGTTAGAGCCTTCTAAAATGTAGATGACAATAGTCAATTTGGGCAATCAGTTTATCTTTAATTTATTTTTCTCTTAGCAGCATTTTTCGAAATTGCCGCCGTTATTACTCGGAGACAATGATTATCCGATGATTATCGACTTTTTCTTTCATGTTTTGTATATAGGTCTACAATGTGCTATGCCTTACCAGTTTATTGATCTGATCAAACATTGTAAAATTTACCAAAATATTTTTTAAAATTCAACTTCTTACAAATTTTGCATTTTTTTTCGAACTTAGTTCATTGTACGGACAATATGTATTTTCTAGTGAAAAATTTTGCTTCTAAGGTTTCATCCACGGGAAGGCCGGAATGACTGCAGCAGCGGAGCATGAATTTTCAGCGTCTTCGTAATCGCATGTAACTCGAAAAATATTTAATTTTTTTTCAAAAATTGTTTAGTTATTAAATTTTAAAAAATTAAATTCAAAATTTTGATTTGGTTTATGACACTAGGTGTGCCCTTTAAGATCAATATATTTACATTTTTCGTACTATTTCCCCTATACATATAGTTCACTTGTTTTTTAACCTTTAAATTTGTTATGACTACTTTGTGTCGTGGTACTCACCTCAACTCACGTCCAGGTTCGGCGCGTACATGCGGCGTTTGTATGGATTCCCGAAATATGGCGCCACCTTCGCCGTCAATGCGCAACGCGTGTGCACCGATTGTGACTTCATTTTGATTTACAGAAAATAAATTTCGTCCGTTGGTGTCATTGATGCGAATTTCCTTCGCCAAGCATTCGAGCTTATCGTGCCCAAGGAATAAATGATTCTCCAACATGCCATTCGCGTCACGTGTATTGATTGAAAAATTACGTGATGATTCTGTTGATGATATTCGGTTGCCGCCAGGTAAGTAGCGAGTGTAGGTAATCAACGCAGCAGCGCGGTGAAGTGCAGTTTGTTGAGGTGTCGGTGTGAGGATGACCGCAATTCCCATTTGGTTTGTGGTGGATATGAATGTTTGATGTTTGGTCATGAGTTATTTGTTGTTTGATCGGTTGAGTGTGCCATTTTGTTTATTTTATATTTTGTTCATTTGTTTTTATATTTTTTTTATAGTTTTGTGGTTTGGGGTTTTGTGGCAGTCAATGTGAATTACGGCGTTGATGATGACATCCATCCGGTTGTACCGAAAAAATTGCAAGGAAATATTACAACATAAATATGAGTGCGATTTGTGGGCGCAGATAGTGAAATCAAATATACGAAATGTCAACTATATAATATAAATAGCAATAAATAAACGACGAGTATGTGCACGTGCGCCGAAAACAAGCCGTATAACAAATGTGTCGTAATAAGGCTCATCCCCGCGCGCAGCTCCCTGCCAAAGCCAACAGCATACGCAACCAGGAAAGTAAAGTGAAAAAAGCGAATAGTGCGCACTCACATCTTTCTTGCTACAAATCAGCGTGCAGGCCGCAAGATTAGTGTGACATGATAGCGGAAACGGAAATAAAATTTGTGCCATCACGATTCTGCAGTCGACCAGTCAACCTTGGCGAGGGAGCTAAAGCTACCATAAAAGACACTCTGAACGTAGGAAATTTGTTCATCTACTGTTATGGTAAGCCCCCTACCTCACACACAACAGTGCGAGCATTGCAAACGTGTAAGACATTGAAGAAATTTAAAGATTGCATCCGGGCCACTGAGGTGAAATTGCCGCCATCACCAAACATATGTATGTACGACACCCTCTTCAGCATCTTATCTCAGCTGCGGTCCACTGGCTGTGACTGTGACTTCTCTTACCTTAATGTTGTCATTTGGTGAAAATCCCATCTATCTTTCTCTACTTTTATCTGTAATTGTGCAACGCCAGTCACCGCCCGCACACCTAACTGCGTACTCGCCAACACATATATACAAACATATTTAGTTGTGGTGAAATGTATTCGTGCGTGTTACACGTACTTTCAGCGCTCTACACATTGTGTTGAGTGTGGCAAGATTTATTTATTCTCTGTAAGTTTTAATTTTTCTATTGCTATTCGTAGAATTCTAGCTTTCTGTGTTTCTGTTAGTTGCTTGTAATTTCTTAAGGTCGTTTACTTTTGTTGGATTGAAATATGCAGCGTTTGCCGAAGGTTGTATATAAAATCTGGTTGCAATCGAAGTTGTGATTTTTGAATTTTTTTTGTTTTTCTAAGTGAGTAATAGTTTTACATTTCACAGCATTCGGCAGGTTGTAGAAGAAAAATGAAGAAGGTGTGTTGAAAATGGTATCAGATCGTGTCGAACTTGCTCAAATTTAAATTTTGAAATTATGAAAATTCAATTGTTAAGTTGTCGCTTTAATGTATGGTATTAAATACCTTGAGGATAGTGCACAGAAGGCTAAGTATCTTGCGGAAATCATATCGTTGTATTGAAAAGGTCAAAGAGGAAATATGCAGGGAAGTTGTTCTTCACTATCCAGCTTTCGCTAGCCAGAGTTAGGAACATCTTGGTAGCCACACCTTTGGCGAACGAGGTGGATTCTCCAGAATTGATCTTACCCGCCTCAACAAATTTTAGACGAGCTTAAGGCACTTTGTGGACTTACAAGAATCCTGATGATGCAAAATTAGAAGTTCATTGCATCACAAAGTGCTGCCTTTCTCTGCTGTCCAAGTGACTCTTGTCGCAAGGAATGGCCAGTTTACTTAATCTGTGAATAGTGAAGCTTTGAGGAATATATCAAAGAATCCCATTTAAAGCCATTAATAAACATATAAAGCTAAAACAGGGGCATAATATCATGACCGCAATTGTATATTTGCTGTTAAACACAGTGTGAAACCCCCAAGCTCATGTCAGGGTGCATGAATTTCATTAAGTTTCAAAAGTTTATCACAATCACAAATCCACAGCCCAAGAACATAGATATATGTATTGTACATGCATGATTTTCAACATGTTCTTGCATTGAAATTTACTCACATTTCCAAAGTATTGTCATGGTAATGTACTTGTATATCAACCTCACAGTAAAGGACTTTTGATTAGCTATAACGTGTATAGTTAGTAAAAAATTGTACGGTTAGAAATACTAATTACCACTCATAAGCACAAAATACAATAAAAAAACGGGGTCAGAATTTTAATAAGCTAATCGCTTTAAAAGTAAAAAAAATTCTCAGTAAAATAATAATATATATGAAGAAAATGGTGTAATTTGCGACTAAAAATAACTCCTAAAGGAACTTAGGCAGATTTACGAAAAATTTTGAATATATTGGGTTTTCCAATAGGAATGATATGATTTCTAAGTGTCGTTTCCACCATTTTTAATATGCAAAACATTATGCAAACATATACGCAAGAACAACGTTTGCAAATTATTTAATTTTATTATTAAAGTATTCGTTCTCCAATTGCAACTTTTCGTGCGGTTTTCGAGGCTCACTTTCACCGGAGTGGTGGGGTAAATAAACAAAACTGTTTACTCTGGTGCAAAGAAAATTCACAAATTATTCATTTCTAAATTGACAGTTTGGTGTGGTTCTTGGTCTGGTGGAATCATCGGTCCGTACTTCTTTCAAAATGAAGCTGGTGACATCGTTCTGTCAATTGAGAGCGGAAAGTTTATCTAGACAACATCTGGTTCCAACAAGACGGAGCTACGTGGCACACAGCGCGTACAATAACCGAATTATTGCGAGACAAGTTTGGAGACTCGATAATTTAAAGAAATTTTGATATTGAATGGCCTTCAAGAAGTTGTGATTTAACACCATTAGACTACTCCTTGTGTTGTTATTTAAAGTCATTGATCTTAAGCAACAAACCAGACTCTATTCAAGCTTTAGAAGTCAATATAGCACGTGCTATTCATGACGACTTGATTTAGTGTAAAAAATTCTCGAAAATTGGGTTTATTGAATTCGTTCCTGCAAAAGAAGCCGTGGAATGATGTACTATTATTGAATTATTTTATATTCAGACTTAGTTGTATCGATTGTACTTCAAATTAAATAAAAAACAATTGAATTTCCTTTACAATTAGTGTGTTTTTTTTTTTGTTTGAAAAAAAATCATACCACTTGTATTGGAAAACCCTGTACATACGTATATTAGCGTGTTTCAAACGAAACGAATGTTTTTCTTTTTGCTTCGCTTGGTACTTTGAAAAATTAGTTGATGGACACCTCTTGATAAGTAAGAGCTCTTAATTGCAACATTATGCTGATGAAAGAAAAATGTCATTTATAAGGAACTAAAACGATCGTGTTCGAACGGAGCAAAGTAACAAAAATAAAACATACAAAGGAAAAGACAATATTTTGAAAAGCTTTAATTTGGTCATATTTTTTAATACGGTCGCCACCCTTTGAAATTTTAAAAATATTGGAAAATATGTGTATACGTAAAGTTTTCTAGAGAGGCTTCATTTAAACACATTTTGGATTCAAGTCGCCAACTGCCGAATACGTAAGTTAAACAAGAAAAACATGAATTATATAGCAAAAATGTATCTGGTTGGTTTTAAATTAAAACTGAACAAATGAGCAAAATAAAACACAAAGAGTGTAGAAATGCAAACAATCAAATGAAATCTATCAAAAAATTCAAATCGACATTATTCTGAGAGAGGTAATCGTCCAAAAGCGGGCAGTTTTGGTCAAGAGGAGAGAAATTTTTTACATCAGGACATGTGTGTGGCCTAACATCGATAGTGACTATGTACAAGCTCCTGTAGCTTGTTTAGGTGGTTGCTATGCATCCAACTTATGGTCCGATCCAAGTGTATACTACCTGTTCCTGTATATAGTGTATGATTTTGCTGTTAAAAAATTTGTCTTAACAGAAAAGTGTGGCAATCCACTGCCCCAGTTTTTTTGCCAATAAGGAAGAGGGTTTCTATGACAGTGGCATTATGAAATCACTTTCAAAATGGCGACAAGTTATCCAACAAAACGGCGTATAACATATTTGAGCTAAATCAGTTTATGCTCACTAAGCTAAATAAAAATTCCAACTTAATGCATTTCCTTTAACTATACCGCATATAATGTTGGCAAAATATTTCGAAAATTATTCCAGGGTATAGTTTTAAAGTTATGTGGTAAGTATACGGAGAAAATGTTTTTTCTTTGTGCTCCAAAATGATAAATTATGTATAAATATTGTAAATCCAATTTCTTTCCACAAAACTATTTTGTTTAATACTCTTCTAATTTTTTTTAAAAATCAAAAAAATTTTCCGATAATGTTATGATGTAATTCTATATGTGTGTATACAAAAATACTGTGTGGTTTGCTAGCTTATGATATATCTAAAGAAATTAATTTCTAAAGCAATTTTCCCTTTATAAGATTGAGAAATCCCAAATGCTGAGCTTTGAACAAATAAATATATTATCGGTGGGAGGTGCTACTTATGTGCATTAATACAACGAGAGCCAACAAATAATAATATAATACCATAAACGTAAGATGACAAACAACTAATTTCTTAGAAATAAATCTTTAAATTCTGCATGAAGCGTGCGTAAGAAGAAATTTGTTGTTGGCCATAGGTTTTTAGGCGCCACATAATCTTAGTATTTGTAAATTTATGCAAACTGAATATTAATAGGGACATCACCATAATAAATTACGTGCGCAAATATCTTATCGCGCCGTGACGTTATCAGACAAACATTATCCGACTAAATGTTTACGCATTTGTAGATTTATTCATACGCTTATTAATGCATATTCATATGCCCAAATGTGCAAGTGTATGTGCGTTAGTGCGGTGTGTCATGCTGGCGGCATACAAATTGCCGCAAATCGCAGACAAACAAATTTGCATGTCATTGGCAACACACACACACACACACACACACACTTATAATTGTGCACTTGTGGGCATAATACAGATATAAACGTATATATGTATATACATAGTGTTGGAAAAAATAATAGAAACAACATCAACTACCATACTTGAAATAATTTATTAATTATGTACGAAACGAATCGCGGAGTGTACTACAGAGCTGTAGAATGTAATATTATTAAATACTTAGAAACGAAGAAAAATGGAAAATGTTAAATTGATGTACTGCTCTGTTAAAAAAGGGTTCAGCCAATCCTTACTCCTGAAATCCTCTCCTTTTAGTTAAGTGATCTCAAAAATACCTAGAAGGCATCAGTGTTTAGTCGGCCAATAAGAAATAGAATAACAGAAATGGATTTAAAGACACTTGCAGATAGGAAAGTTCCACTTCTGTGCAAAGAAAATATCACAAGAACACTGTCTTTCGCAAAGGGACGCATAGCCAGGATTGCAAATAGTGCATACAAAAATTAACTTTTGTATTACATTATTATTTTATATTATAAACCCGAAAATTTTAATTGGAAACAATTTTTAAACTTTTAATCTAAAATATCGTTTGGAAAAAAATGTAATACTAGAATCAAAAACAAAAGTTTTAAATTTCAAAAATCGATTAAAAATCAGATTAAAAGAAATAACTATTTAATAATGCAATTGGAATTTTGGAAAATTTTCTATTTTAGGATTAAAAGACCAGAAAATACTGCCTTCGATCCTAAACATTTCATAAAAACTTGTAGAGATATTATACTATGGCGATGCTTTTTCGCCTTTTAATGAAATAGATTGTCCTGCCCAATGCTCTGACCGAAATTCTATAGCACATTTGTGGGGTATGTTATAAAAGATCGGTTGGTGGCTTTAAGCGAAAAAATAAGGAAAAACTCTGTAGAAAGGTTAAATCCGAGTAGTGTGCCATTGACCCTTTAAATTGCGCCAGTATGGTGAATTCGATGCCTCGTCGGTTCTTTACGGTCTTAAAAAATAAAGGTTGTACACTCAAATATTAATTATTAAGTATTTTAATAGGTCGATTCGAAAAATACTGTGTTTTTAAATATGAATTGTTTTGTTTCTATTATTTTTTCAAAGCGCAAAAAAAAATATTTTTTTTGTTAATAGAAAATTAAAAAATAAAAAATATTTTTGTTCCTTACAATCTGAGTTGCTTGGGATTTAAAATTTGTACACATAGTTTGTAATATCCAGAAGTATTCATTGGAGATCCCATAAAGTGTATATATAAATGATCAGCATGACGAACTGAGTCCATTTAGCCATGTCCGTCTGTCTGCCTGTGCATATATATATACGCGAACTAGTCTCTCAGGTTTTGAGATATCGATTAGAAACTTTGTTCACGTCCTTTTCTCCTCAAGAAGCTGATCTTCTGTCGGAACAGCTGATATCAGATTACTACAGCATATAGCTGCCATATAAAATGTACGATAAAAATAAAATCCTTCTGGGAAAAACTTCTTTATTTGATAAAATATCTTCACGAAATTTGGCATAGATTATTTTACAAAGCAGTGCCAAAATCTTCGAATAAATTTTTCAGATCGGACCACTATAACATATATAATATGTAGCGGTAATATAAACTAACCGTTCACAATCTCGATTAAGATATTTTTATACTATTTTATGTTATAAGAAATGCACTTGTGAATGGGTATTTTAAGTTCGATACAGCCGAAGTTAAGGTATTTGCTTGTTTATTTCCAAAACTGAAAACCAACATAAAAGCAGCATTTTATGATGACATCTCAGCCACTGAAGCAGCCGGAACAGAGCTTGCAGCTACAGAGCATTCTTATAAATGGCATAAAAAACGTGTGCATGCGCTGGTTGATCACATCAAACATTGTACTGAGTTCAATTGAACATATTTAAAAAAAAAAAATACTTTTATAGATAATATTGTGTGCTTTGTATATTCTATATCCATAAAGTTCGGTTATTTTTCGGACATACCTTGTACATGGGTTAAGAACAAAAATAAAAAAAAATATTACTTTAGCGCTGTAGGAAATATTTGCAGACAACAGATGCAAGCAGCTTGTTTCTGTTATTTTTTGCAACACTGTAAATATATATATGTAGGTAATAACTCTGATATAAGTAGGTACCACATATTATGTACCTGCAATTCATCGTACGTTTGTGTGTTTGTAACTACATTTAGCACCCTCTAGCATATTGCATGCCTTTGAAACACACACTTACATACATGTATATGCATATATATAAAACGCACACTCACCTATCGCTATCGGCTGGCCATGCCTGGAGCGTATTGTCGATGCACGCAGCATATCCATTATGAGCGCCTGACCGGTGAGCTGAATACCGCCTGGCACTATCTTCAGCTGGCCCATGCCGTCCTGCAATGATGATAAGACAGAAAACCATTGAAGGTCAATTAACAACAATTGTGCTGGTTAATGAGGCAAATATGCAAAGTGATTTATGCATACACAGACACGCACACACACACACACTGCTGCATAATACCACATGCCTGATGTCAACTGGTCGATTCAATCCGATCGGAGTGGAATTCAACCGTACCGGTGTGTGGCAACAATCACCTTTGAGCCGAAATATTTGGCATGAGCATATAAGCATAATTCGTTGCAAGCAACAGCAGAGCGTGTATGTATGTGAGTGTGTTTGGCGTATGTTTGGCTTACTCACCGTCGTGAATTCCATCACTTTCAGTATCCACAATGTCAACACCAGATTTGTGATGATGAGCAGCATTAGCAGCACAAGCAGGCCGTAGAGGCATTTCTTGCGCCAACCCACCAGCTCCAAATGTGCACCCAAACTGTCCATGAGCGCGCTGTTTTCTTTGTGTAGTGTATTGCTGTTGTTGTTGTTATTATTGTTGTTGCTGCTGCTGTGATTACTGTTATTGCCACTGCCACTCGCACTGCTACTGCCGCCAGCGGCGCCTGCGGTCATTCTCTTTGGCAGCGCGTGTTGTTGCAGTGCTGGCTGTTGTTGTTGCTGTTGTTGTTGTTGTTGTTGATGTTGCTGTGGCGACTGTTTCACCTTGGCTGTGGCACGTTGCCGCTTGTTGTGACCGTTGAGCGGCGCTTTGCCTGTGTGGCTGCCCACTAGATCGAGATTGTCAGCTGCATATGCAGTTCGCGGTGTTGTTGTGGTTGTTGCGATGCGTGGCAAGGTGCGATTGCGCGGTGTACGTATGCTGGTTGTTGGCTTTGTTGTGGTTGTTGTATTGTTGTGCGCACCAACAACACCGCTGCTGCCAATTGCTAAAATATCGTCAACCGTTATTGCTTTTGTCGCGTTTGTTGCTTTTGTTGTTGCTGCCACACCTATACCATTCAATATAATCGACGTGGTAACTGTTGCTGTATGTTGCACATTGCCATTCTCAGCACTGTTGCGATTAGGTGATTTTGATTTCGGCTGCGACACTTCGGTTGCCAGTGAATTATTAATTACCGTTGCTGCCACTGTTTGATTGCCACCACAGTTATTGTTATTGTTGTGGAATTGATGTTCGAACTGTTGTTGTTGTTGTTGTTGCTTCTGTGTTTGCTGTTGCTTTTTGCGCTTAAATGTTGCAGTCGGCGATGTGAATTGAAAAGTTGTCGCGCTTTCTAATTGTAATTCAGTTGCAGCAGCGTCGCTTTGTTGCTTTTGTATTAAATCTGTCGTTTGCTGTGAATGAATAGGATTGCACGCTTTAGCACAATGATTAGCTGTTGGTATTGTTGTTGTGCTTAGTGGCGCAAAGCCATTCTGTTTGCTGCGTTTTTCGGTTAAGTTAGTAGATGGAAAATCATGAGTCATGGAGATGGTGGTATGAGTGGCAGGTGGATGTTGCATGCCCGGGATATATGTGATGTGAAATGCGTTGAAATTATTGTACATAATGTCAGGGTCATTATGACAATGTTGCGGTATTTAGTTGGCATAGAGCAGCGATGATTTGGTTGAAAGTGTTTTTATGGCGCCAATAATCATGGGAAATATAAATAATGATATTGTTTTTAATTTATAATGAAAGGAGACTTAGTATACACAATAAAGGTAGTGTGATCATGATATGACAGATTATAAACGAATTATATAATAATCATAACTAAATGTAAAGCGGCACCCTAATTGTGGAATGCTGCTGATATGTAGTTGCCAGTATACTTGCTTAGGATACCAACACAAGCTTTTGCTTTGAAGAAGGCTATAGAAGCCGGTCTATTTAAAAACGCAGCTAGCAATTCTGAGTTTACATTTTTGGAGAGCATTTGGAAAGAATTTCAAACTCCAAATTTACATCTGGATTTTGGCGACTTAGTTTTCTGCGTAAGGTAGACGATATTCTATCGTAAAGTACAATTTGATATTAAGTAAGTATATGAAAGTCTGGAGGACCTAGTTCTCGTTTATAGAAAACTAAAATTTTGTAAGAAATTAATTATTTTCTAAATAATTCACGCTTAGGTTGGGAATCTTACCGGATGCCAGAGGGTGTGAATTGAAAATTGACGCTTTATAGACTTTTTGTATCTGATTGCAGGAGTTCTAGATTCTGGTTTCACAAAGGACTGTATATATGTAGTAGTTTAAGGATTTTTGAGTTTTGTTACTCTTCATTAGTCGCACCCGACAACAACTTGGTATATCCAAACATTTATAAATGGTAAAGTTATTTGAGTGTTGCCACAGTTAACAATATAACTGATGAATATATTTATGTAGCAATGTATACTACTTATATTAGTTGTCAGAAAGATTTTTGTATTTATTGACATAAATTAAAGTAAATCAATTACTTAATCATCAAATAATGACAAAAAAATTCTCGTGCCAAGATATAGCTCAAATTTGTATCATTTTGAAAATAAAGTTTGAATTCAATACAGAACCCTCTATATAAAAGGAAAAAAATACATTTATTTATAAAACTCGGTATATTATTATTACTAACCGAAAATTAAGCCAAGCTCAAGTTGAGTTAACCAACACCAGATTAATTTCTTTGATACCTAGCCGTAAGTTAGTTATTTTTAACTCAAATTAAGTGTAAGATATCAGAAATTATTTTGAAAGTTTATAATTTCTGAGTTATGATTTTATGCTGCTTCAAAACTGTAATTGTTTTTAAATCCTTAAATACCATATTTAAAATTTAAATAGTGACATTAAGTTAGCTATATGGGATAAGCGGATACTATTTTTAAGATTATGAAATTTATATATGTATTTAAATTTTGAAAGTATTCTTCTCCACTAATATAGACATTTGACATTTATGTTCTGGCCATTGCTAAGAAAAATTAACAAGCACCGACCAAAAGTAATTATAGTTTCCAATAAACGAGTACATACATACATATGTATGAATTTAAAATAGTTCAATTTTGTTCTTATTTATTATGTTTACTAATGTGTTGGAAGCACTTAAAAATTTTATCACATTTGCAAATGGGAAAAATGTGCCTAGAATGTGGCATTTTTACGACGTTTTTATATATTTTGCCAATTCGGGTTGACGCTTAATTTGCCAGACAAATAATAGATGGTAAAATTTTTTCGTTGACTTATGAAATAACAATTTGACAAATTACAAACAAAAGTAAAAATTGGGAATTCGCTTTGGAATATTGCCTACTTGTGTCTTTATTAATTTTGTCATTATTTTCGAGGTACAGTGGGAATGTATAACTTATATAAGGTTTTTAAATCTATTTGAGAAATCTGCAACTGCCAATACTCTTTGGTATTCATTTTACCCGAGGCAAGGTACAAAAAATTCGGGAATATTTATTCCGAATCGATTAATGTATTAATATCCTTTTTAGTAAAATATCCAATGATTTTCTAACCGTGTTTGCTGATGGGCTAACAGTGGTCATAGAAAGTTCACAAAAGATGTTTTACAGGGCTAATAAAAAATAATTGTTCGCAGCATAATGATTTTAGTGTTTCAAGGCTTCTGTGTCAAATTAACGCTTTCCAAAAATTATAAAACTTATTTAAAGAAGTATTGACAATACGCAAGTTAAATTTTCAAAGCCACTGTAAACGATACTGCTCTAGTACAGGTATGAAAATGTTTTGAGTATGCTGTTAACAAATTATGTTAAATTTTAAAAGCGAACCGGCAGATGGCAGTTGACAAGTGCTTAAGGGTTATATCCACTTGCAAGTCAGAGAAACAAATTGAGTAAAATTTTTTAAAGGGACATTTTTTTTTATAAATAAATAAAAATAATGTCCATTTACAGAATTTAGTGTACTTAAATAATCGGCGATTCATTTTGAAGAATTTTAGATTTGCTTGATATTTTAGCCGATCTCCAGGAGACCTTCGATTTTTAAATTAAACTTATTTTAAACCCAAAACAAAAAAAAGTTATTATAACTAGTCAGGACTAGGCACAAAATGGTGGCTTCCCAAAATAAAAATAAAAAATTTTATACCTCAAAGTGGCTTAAAAAATCGAAATTATTATCCAAAATCTTATTCCTTCGATCATTACCTGACAAGTATTATATATGATAAAAGTGTAATGAAATTCAAGTTGATCGGTCCAACTGTTCGGAAAAGTATTCCTCACCCAGTTTGAAAACAGTGTTTCGAGAAAAACGCATTTAAAGTGGTGGGAGCCAATTACACTAAGTTAAAAAATTCTCACAAACAGATCCTATTTCCAAAATTATTTGCCGCATCACATTCAAATTTTTGGAGCATGTTTTCAGATATATAGTATGTACGTTCGATAATTAAGCAAATTTAATTTTTTCAAAATCACAAGTGGATATATATAATATATATATAGAAAATGTTGGATTGAGAGTATAAGGTAGTCAAAACCGTTAACTGAGAGAAGTCTTCTAAATGAAACATGCATTCTTAATAATCGGTTTGGGCATCATGATTCAATAATACAAGAAAATTAGCTTAAATTTTCACTCAAATTGCAACTTTCTTTTCGCTTATAGAAACATCAAGAAAGCAACACAGCTAATTTAGACAGAAGAATTTGCAAATCTTAACGGAAACTTATTGTTTTTACGCCATCACATCCTTACATTATTGAATCTTGTTTGGGTATGGATATATATATTTAAATTAGACACTGTAAATATTTTTAGGTCTTTTTTGCACAGAAAATATACTGTAAACTACTAACCGTGAGATTGTCTCTTGTGTTGGCCCCGAGTGGCTTATCAACAGTCTCGCGTCAACGTCCTCGTGTATTGCATATGTTTGCGTAGGTGAGGTAGACATTAAGTGGCAACCATTGGTGGTTGTTGAGCTCAGCTGTAATTACAAAAATTAAAATAAATGTCAGTCAACATTACAAAGATATAGAAAAATGTATGAAAAACCTAAGAAAATAATATATTAGACGAACTGCTTGACTTGTTGAACAAAACTAGTATTATATGGAGATAAATGTGTTTTTTCCTCCGTACTCTGAAAAATTTTTTGATACACACTTCTACGAAATGCTCTCTAAATGTGAGCTCCTAATAGTAATGAGAAGGTCTTCCGAGCAACGGTTTTCAATTCATTTGTTTTAATATGTAGTATAAATGTATAGTAGATGCAAAAAATATAATATATTTTATCTGAATATATTTTATATTTTTAAATAATATTCCACACTTACTATTCCACTTTTATAATTTAAAAATGGAATTGAAATAATTTTCGATACATATGTAGTTCAGAGCAATTATTTTTCTTTCAAATTGAAACTAGTAGTGCAGTTAAATATAAAAAATTAAACAAAAATTAATCAAACGGTTACGCGTGCCATCAGTCAAATAATCAATTTCGTAAATGTTAAAAAAAATTAATTGGCTTTTTACCGTAAACTATTAACTATTTATATTATTACTGAGTAAATAAGAACTATGAATGGATATTCATAAAAATTAACTTTTGACCGCAAGATTTTTTAATTTTTATTTACTTTCTATAAATCAACACATATTTACGTGTTTGCATGTGAATTCAATATATTTGTAAAGAAATTATACGGCAGCTATCGCAATTTTTTTGACCTAGAAATTAGCGCATTTACGGTGAATGCGTAGAATCGTGCAGCTATTCGCAAGTAAAAGCTTTTCAAAAAAATACTGAATTGCACAAATTTTAATTGAATGTAAATAGAATGGATATGTGTGCACATATACATACATACCTACGGAATATGAATTGGAAAAAATTTTAAGTAGATTTGTATTTGAGCGCGTCATAGATAATATACCTATAGATAAGTAGAGATGGCCATTTGGTTATAATATTAAACTAAAATAGTTACATGCAAGTTTTTCTAAGATTTAAAGTATTTGTTCAAAAAGGCTTCACTCTTACATAAAAAAGCATTAGAAAAATATCCAGTTTTTGAGAAACTAAAGGGCGTTCAACGGGCCATCAACCATATAATTTAATGTCATTTTGTACAGGAAGGTTAATTTTAGACTCAGCGAAGCTCGGTATCTAAATGAACTTCTGGATAAGGCTAGGTCAGATACCAGGTCATAACGGATAAGCTGGCAACTGTAAAGCTTATGAGTTGATAAGAAAAGGCACCTCAGTCTCGCTGTGTGTTGAATTGAGAGGGGATCGGAGCTCCGCTGTCTCTTGCGGGTTACTATTGGATAGCTGAGCCTGGCAGGAGCTTGATGGTCACCCCAACTAAATTGCATGAGAAACAGCGCTCTCACCTATTGTTAGGCTTTCCCTAATAGTAGAGCTCTAACTAATCATTGAAGCTGCTTGTAAGAAAACATTGTAAAAACAATTCAACACTTTATTCTTGATGGCCCCGCATTTAATAGACCAAGGCTAAAGCATCTCGAAGTTCACACTTTTAGATATATTTACTTGAGAAATAAAATAGGAAATAGAAGTT